ACCCTTATAGAACCCTGAAAAGAACCCATATAGAGCCTGTATAGAACAACTCTGGAACCCCTTGAAACCTCTTTAAAAGAACAGACTCCGCACCTGTCCCTCGAGCAAGCGGTCGGCAATGCCTGCTTGAACCGAAGCCACATAGGACGAAGGCATCTCTTCAACTTTTTGAAGGGTCTTTGTGCGGATGTGGGGGGGGGGGGGGGTTGACGACTCAGGGGTTTCGGATTTTCACTATGCTCCAGAAGCAAGCGGCCCCGATCCATCAGTAAGAATTCTAAACCCTCCGTCCTACACCCTGAACTCTAAATCCCAAGATGAAGACAACCACCCATGTTGCAGCAAAGCCCCAAAATCTCAAACCAACTTAAAAACATGTCATTCAGGTTTACTCTCCCGGACGGCAAGTTAGGGGTTGGTTGCATTTGGGGCCGCATTTGGGGCCAAGTTAGAACCACCCTTGACGGCGCAATTTCGCCCGAGCGTCGTTTTGCTTTCTCGGGCGCCCCTTTCCCCAAGCAGCAGCTCAGAACCAGAAACGTCGCCAAGGTAAGGTAGAACCACCCTGCTTCAACAGCTAGGCTTGATGGGTTTTGGACCTGTTTACAGATGATTTCATGATCTTTTTTCGCTGACGGCCCCGTAACGAGAAAAATTAGAACCACCCAGTACCGCCCCGGAAGCAGTATACCGCACCCGTAGCGCCTGTGCGGGTACGGCCCCATACCGTTCCCGCACTGCCCCGGACCGCCATACCACGTCTTGTACGTTTTGTACCTACCGCCTGGTGCCCGCTGTACCAGCCCGTCCCCGAAGCCCCCTATGTATACCGCCATGTGCCCGTGCCTAAATTCAACATCCAAAAGCTCTAAACTCCCTACACCCTGAACCCAAAATCCCCACTGGCGGAGAGACCTGGCCTGGAGGCAGCCCGATGCCTTTCATCAACATGCCAGGTCCGATGCATATATGTTTGTAGTGGCATCGTTCCATGTGTGCGTGTACACACATGCACTACAATTAATATTGCTCTAACCTCATGAATACAATATATTACAATAGCACCATATCATATCATTCCACATGTGAAACACTTACACTTACACAACAAACTATAGCATGATAAGGCATGATATCATACAGTATAATAACGAATCAAAACAATGGACTGTAATATAAAAACACAGATAGAACAGTGCACTGCCATAAAACAGAATATCATATAATATACTGCCATATAAAGCAATACAACACTACATAATGCAATATCGTAGAAAATCAGACAGCATCGCTAAATATACGGCAATAGACTTTCAACTAATCAATGAAGTACACCGTAGTTTTGTATAGTATAGTAAGATAAAAATACGATGCAACACAACATAATACAATACATTACAGCACCAATACAATACAATAAACCAGTGCAGTATATCATGGGGAACATGCAACATGATAGAACATTCTGCAACACAAAACAATAGTTTACTACACATTTTGAGATAACATATTTCAAGTTGACTTATTAGAATGTAGCATCATACAAGTAGCATAGAAAAGTATTCAATAAGGTGACACCACATAAACAAGATACTATAATACAATATAGCATGGTATGATACAAAGTTGGATAGGGTAGTATTATGGTGTATTACATGTTGTCGTCTTTAGTATGTCTGGGTATTTGTATACATTATATGTCTCTATTTATATATATATATATGCATACGTAGTATATGCGCATACATACATATATATATATATATATATATTATATTATAGGTGTGTGTGTGTGTGCAGGTACGTATGTATATGTATGTATGTGTATATATATATATGTGTGTGCGTGTGTCTGTGAGTATGTGGCTATGTGCATATACAAATATACAGATGTATGTATGCATGTATGTGTGAGTATATGTATATACTTATATGTATATCAGTATGCATGCATGAATGTATGTGTGTATCTGTATATATATATATATACAGGTAACGACATTACTACTACTACTGCTACTACTACTATTACTACTACTACTACTACTACTACTACTACTACTAGTACTAGTACTACTTACTACTACTACTGCTACTACTACTACTACTACTACTCCTCCTCCTGCTGCTGCTGCTTACTACAACTAGTACTACGACTGCTACTGTCACCACTGCTGCTGCTACTTCTGCTATTACGACGACAACGACTACTTCTGCTCTCGATACGACCCGCGGGTGCCATCTGAACCTGTGGCGACCCTAAACCTAGCCAACAGACGAGGAGCCATCAAGGAGTTGCGGTCGCTGTGCAAGCTCCCGCAATCGGCGAAGACGCTGGCCTGCTTTAGGGTTCAGCCTCGGGGTTTAGGGCCCGTTTAGGACTTAGGGTTCAGGCTTCAGGGTTCAGGGTTAAGGGTTCTGGGTTTTAGGATTGAAGCTTCTGAGGCGTGGTCGTGCTCACGGTTGTGGTGGCGTGGTCGTTTTCATGGTCATGATCGTGGTGGTGGTGGTCGTGGTGGCGTTTTATTTTGCAATGTGGCAGGCTCATTGTGCTTTCATCGGGATCAGCGCTAAGCAAGCTTGGGTGAACTGCCATTGAATTGATCTCCCTGGCTTTTTGTGCAGCAGCAATTCGCGCTTTTGTGTCACGATGGGGGTGGAACTATCGTACGATCCCTCCCCGTCCAATCTTGCTGCCACACTATCCTGAAGCGGACGGGTGGCAATTTGAACTCAGCTGGTCCCAAGTTCAAGCAAAGCTCCCCCTAAACCCTAAACCC